AAGTATATTCCATCGATTTTTTTCTGCTAAGACACTCAGAAGATGAAGCTAGCTAAGTCGAGTTTTTAATTAGTTACGGGAGGACGGAGGGATACAGTGAAGGGTCTGAGTGACTTATAAATGAACACCAGTTAGTATAAATAAGTTTTTTAGGAGGGACTTATTATTCAAATCATCAGTTGATCTACAAAGGAATACGTGAGTATTTTTTTCAGCGTAGTTATCTTACTCATACTTTTATTATTTGATATGTCAACAGAAGGTACACATGATTTGGATGAATATGATTTGTCGAAACATTTTGAAGAATGTATTACATTTATTAAAGAGGCAAGAGAAAACAATAAAATTATACTTGTCCATTGTTCTGCTGGTGTTAGCCGATCTCCAACGATAAGTGAGTATACCAGTTACCGATTGATATTTCATTTATAGTGGTGTTTTCCTTTCTAGTTGCTGCATATTTAATAAAAGAATTCAGATGGAGTACAGAAAAAGCATTGATTTATATTTATAAAAAAAGAAATTGTATAACACCAAATAAAGGTTTTATGAAACTGTTATTTCAATATCAATATGCATTGGGAATTCCAAATGAAGAAATGTTGCATTAAATTCTGTTGCATTAACCTTCTGTTGACGTATCAAATAAAAAAAGTATGAGTGAGATAAAATACGGTGAAATATACACAGGTATTGGTGCAGCAGTTAATTCAGTGTTTTGTATTGAAATCGATGCATCACTATGTAGACCAACGGCTGCAGCATGCCAAAAAACTCAAAAACTCGACTTAGCTAGCTTCATCTTCTGAGTGTCTTAGCAGAAAAAAATCGATGGAATATACTTTTTTCGTGCTTGTGCATCTTCTGTTAGCAGTCACGCCATACAGTACAGCCATCTGTCATAGAAAACAGTAACGACCACGCTCGTGCTCACTCACAGGTCGAGGGCATAAGATTTACTTAACATCTGACCTTCAATATCTGTAATATTCAAAATATAATTAATATTGAGTTTCTTTAATTGTTCTATATTGTATGCATCTTTAGCAGATCCCAAATATAAAAATTGTTCTACAATAAGATTTGGAGTTTCTACCTCATCATCCAACAGGCCTCCAAACATATGATGATAGAGTATATTAATCCTTTTAGAAATATATTCATTGTCCATATATTAATTGGGTGATCGTAGTAGGTGAAGTTTGTATTGTTCTCGATCGATTCGAGTCAGATTTATGGTTTTAATTTTAGAGTTTTTATTTGAAAAAAAGAAGGTTGGACTGTTCGAAAAATATGTTATTATATTCTTGTTTTAGAAATACAATGATTTTAGAAAGAAAAAACCAAAAAATTATTTATCTTGCCAATTTGTTGTGCAATAACAGATAAGAAATAAAAAGCAATAGAAATATAAGAAAGTAAGAAATAATATGTGAAACCTTTACCAAGAAAGAGAAAAGACCTCTTCCATATCTGGTAATTCGAAACTATGTTGCCTCTATTGCTTCGATGGGATAGAACTCAAAAGTTTTTGATAATCGATCACATTATCATAGAGAATTAAAATAGACAACCGATCTACGTTCACAACATTTCTCAGCTATCCTGGCTGCGAACGCCAACCGAAAGGAGGCATGAGTACTATCTTGAATTTAGAAATATTTTTAGACCTCTGGAGATTTTTGAAGGGTCTCGAGAAAGCGTTTTAAATTCACATTAGATTACGAGCCTTAAACATTAAATCAGAGAAGAACACGCAACATATTTTAGATGGTCTCCTACCAAACGCTGATTGAGGGACTGGATGAACGTTGTCTTGGATTCAAAAGTCATATAAGGTCATCTGCAGATATAAGTTCCTAAACTCGATACTTATACAGAATAGACCCCGCACATTAGGTATATAACAGAAAGGAAAACATTTTATTGAAAGGGAAAAAGAGTAACTATATTAAGAAATTATAGACGGCGAGGTATCGATCGATATCATTCTAATGATTAAATTTCATTTCCTGCAACAGAACTGTGTCATAATATCTAACTAATTAGGAGTATGAAGTGATCATCACCATTATAATCACTTTTGCTTTTTAAGTAGCTATCAATTATAGTGAGACCAAAACATCTATAATATAAAGAAGAAAGTTTGTTTGTTTGTTCTCTATGCATTCAGTCCCTATAAGAGCTAAAGCAACCAAAATTTGCATGGCACACCCTTCGGTCCATGGGAAGGTCAAGACGGGGTGGGTGAGGTGGGGGCAGTTTTCAAAAGATGAGATCTCAAGCAATTAGGCTTTCCCATTCCTCAAGGAAATCTCGGTGATCGATTGAGCAGAGAAATGCTCACAGAAACAAGCTACGACGTGAACGAGTTGGATCAATATGTGTTAGCGAATGAACCGTTACTGGTGATAGACCAGAGAGCTGCTTACAATGCCGTATTGGACCGAGCCAATAGGAAAGCTGATGGAATAATTTTTTTCGATGCACCAGGTAGAAAAGGAAAGACATTTGTCATTAACTTACTTCTGGCTAAAATTCGACAGCAATCAAAAATTGCAATTGCAGTGGCGTCTTAGGGGATTGCTGCTGCGTTGCCTCACGGTGGTCGTACTGCTCATTTAAAAATAAAGCTGCCTCTCAACCTTACACATTGTGAAGCTCCTCTCTGCAACATGAACAAAGGAACTGAGGAAGCCAAGGTTCTACAAGAGTGTGAACTTATTGTGTGAGACGAGCGCACAATGTCACACAGACAAGCATTAGAAGCCTTGGATCGTGCTCCTCAAGATCTTCGTGGCAAAGGGAAACATATGAGTGGCGTTGTTCTACTCCTTGCGGGTGATTTTCGTCGCCGCCTGTTATTCGAAAGGGAACAATGGCTGATGAGATTAAAGCGTGTTTCAAATCGTCACGCCCATGGAAACATGTTATACCGCTGGGCCTCAAAACCAACATGCGGGTTCATTTGCAGGCGTTGCGTCTGCTGGCTGTTTCGCTCAACAACTGCTCAGTCTTGGAGATGGAAAAGCACCAGCTGATCGAATCACTGGACCCATCCATATTCCGGATACTTTTTGCAATGTCGTCGAATCGATTGAACTACTGAAGAGCAGTGTATTTCCAAACATCCGGAGCCATTTCAACGATCACAGATGGCTATGTGAACGTGCTATTCTTGCCCCTAAAAATAACAGCGTGAATGCCATCAACCTACAGATCCAACAACGGCTCTCCGGAGAAACTACATCTTACAAGTCGGTTGATACAGTTACGGATGTCAACCAGGCGATTCAGTATCCAACTGAATTTCTGCGTCTGGGATGCTTCACACAACTTGCTGCTCAAAGTTGATTCTCCCATTATGCTTCTGAAGAACCTGGATGCTCCAAGACTATGCAATGGTACAAGATTGTATGTAAAAAGTCTGATGCCTCATGTTATCGAAGCAACCATCCTGACAGGCTGCGCAAAGGGTGAGGATGCCTTCATACCACGAATACTCATGATTCTTACTGCTATGCCGTTTGGTTCAAGCGTCTTCAGTTTCCAGTACGTCTTGCCTTCGCGATGTCGATCAATAAGGCTCAAGGACAATCACTTAAGGTTGCTGGTATTAGTCTAGAGACTCCTTGCTTTTCCCATGGCCAACTTTACGTGTGGTGTTCAAGAGTCGGAACCGGAAAAAATTTATATATTTTTGCTTCTGATGCGAAAACCAACAACATTGTATATCAAGCAGCTTTGCAATAAAAATTGTTTTTCATTGGACAGTTTCTCTTAAATAAAAGTAGTTTTTATAAAAAAACTGAAATGAAAAAGATATTCATGAAAATCTCAAAGTATCAAATACTAAAAGTTGAGACGGAAAAGATCCAAGCGTATTGTGCGATATCCCCGATCGTCAATCCATAGAAGACCATAGCGACGTCGTCTTCTCATACGTCAAACATGTACTATCAAGTTATCTAGACAGACATCGGGTACTTATTGTAGTATAAAATCGAGGTAGCCTTAGCTGTTGTC